AACCTATATTTGTTCTTTTGTCCGGCTAACACTTAGGCACTTCCTGCTGTGTTCCATGTGCTGTGCTAAACATTCAAGATCTAATGGTGAAAAGATCGAACCATTCTTTCCTCAAAAAAGCTACAGTTTAGTAAAGGATAAAGACAAGTGAAAAAACAACTAAAATGCAAAGGGTAACAGGTACAATAAAGGCAGTGAGTGAGGTACACAGTGCTGGGGACATACGAGGAGCAAAATTCCGAAATTAGGGTTCGGAAGTGAGGGTAGGACATGGCAGCTGAAACCAACAGCAGGATGATGAGGAATTGGCCAAGGGGACGTGGTTGGAGGAGGCAGAGAGATTGTTTAGAGCAGAAAAAATGTGGAACTTCTCCTTGACAAATTTGACCAGATAAGGCTGCTAGTGTACCAGGGGTAAAGGATGAAGCTAGATTATGCATGACCTTGTGAGTCTTATGTACGAGTTTGAAAACTGAGAACCCATTGAAGGATTTTATGCATAGGAATGTTACAGCCAAATTCATTTTTAAAAGAGCACTGACCACAGGATGCAAAATGACTTGGAGGGAAGAATAAGTGTAAAATGGGAGGAACCTGTTGAGAGGGCTTCATGCCAATTCTGGATAAGATGAAAGTGGCCTGGAGCACATCCATGATCATTGGAATGAAAGGAAATGGAGGAATTGGAGAGTTTGAAGAGGGTAGAATGCATGACCTTTGTGTTATAACATAGTGAGCTGGTAAAATCACAGTCTCGATAAAGAAGTTTGAAGGCATCCGTATAGAGATGTCATTATCGTGGTAAGTTTTATCATTATTATCCAGGAAGATGGCAATTTCATGATTTCCTATCTTTTCCTTTTAAACTAGTCATTAAAGAGCCAATAGTTGAAGCTTTGAGAGTTAGTTCATTTCCCTCTGCATTCTTCAGCCCCCTAAAATCACTTCTTGGGCCCCAGAATCACTTTGTTCCTTTCCTCCCCAACTCTCTTCTGCTCACTGAACTCCTGAAGGCCTGAATAGGCTCTGTTCCCATAGCATTTTGCTCTCAACCAACTGCAAAATAACCTGATAAAGTAATAACCTGATAAAGTAATCCTCTACTTCAGTGCCACTAGTAAGGCCTTCTCAAGCAATAATCCTTCTCTTCGCTGTTTGCATTTTAATAGAAAAGTAGTACCTGAGGCCCAATGACCTTAAAAATTAATCTTTAGTGATAAAATTCCTTTCACACATTCAGGCAAATGGGAAAATATTAAGAGAAAACTTAGAAGTATTTCTCCTGCCCTTTAGACCACATTATTATTTGGTTGACTGTCCTGCCTGGGGAGTCAGTACAGGCATGTAGAGAATCCAAAGAAAGGTGAACAAACCCTCGGTTCCCAGAAACCTTTGCTAAATCACAGTTTAGAAAGCCCTACCTCAGCCGAGGCCACTCGAGCTTCCTACAATGCCATTTTGAAATCACTAGGAACACAGAACAGCCATGCATTTAAGGAAGAAAATGGAGAGCTTTCAAAATAATAGATTTTTCTGCTCTGAAATACAGTCTACACAGCAGCCACTTTTTAATTCATCATAGTCTTGTAGCAAGATTACTGATTATAAAGTCTTGAAATGAATAGCCAGAGATGGAGAAAGTGTTGGAATCGGTATTTCTTGAATGATTTGGGGATTATTGGCCATTCATTTTCAACTATTTGTAATTGAAGTCTTGAAGTAATGGAATTTATCAGAGGAATGCCTCATTCACCCTTGTATAATTTGAACATACTGAAATGGCACATGTGGACTCATAAATCGTTTGTGTGCACAAAGGGGTAATATATCACTCCATCCCTCATCCACTCAAGGCTGGGGGAGGAAAGGCATGGAGGTATGAGTTATAGCTTACTAGACAGGCTCCCATAACTTCACATCTTATATCTCCAAAAGGCTTTTTTAATGTAACCTTTATATTATTTATACTTGCTGGTCACTCATGATAAAAGACACTTCTATCATGAGGCTTTTTATCAATTTTTTTATTATTTATTTATCAAAACACACGCAAATGTTTTCAACAAAGTCACTTTCAGACAAACAGATCCTTGCTCTGGGCTTAGAGCAATGGGCCCTGTTGTCTACACAGACTGTGCTGAATTAGGCATATTAGTTCTAATACCAGCCAGAAATGATAAACATATTAAAATAAAATCAAGTTGTTTCTTTGTGGGCTAGTTTTATGTTTAAAGTGAACACACTGTGACTTTCTTTATTAAAGCTATAATAAGAAATTCAGTTGTTATTTTTAACCACTACAGAATGCAGACATTGTGTTACAGAGACAAACATCCGCTTTAAAGCATCAGTTCCCCAGAACTAACACCTTTTGCTGTTACAATTATTTACTTACTCTAAGTCTTTGGTATGCTGATTGAAATCTCAATCTATGAGGATTGGTACCATACATATGTGAGCCGGGAAACCTAGAATGTTCTGTGTTCAGAAACGTTTATAAAATACCATAGATGCTGTGTGGGTATCAGTCAAATATTCATAAAAAATTATTTCTTTTATATGGTTTACTTTTGCAGCTTATTTCATGTGTTTAGATTTTCCATTTTATTCTCAAGATCTTCTAGATCCTTGCCACTGAAAGTGTTGTCCTTAGACCAGCAGTATCACTGTTTCTTGGAAGCTTCCTTAGGAATGCAGATTCTCAGGTTCTGCCTCACACAACCTACCATATCACCCCCAACTACAGAATGAAAAACTACATTTTTTACAAGATGCTCAAGTGATATGTAATGTACACTAATATTTGAAAAGCCCTATTCTACGTGATTGTTGGGTGGGAGATGATATTTTGAAGGAGACATGAATCGTTAATGAATCTGAACAGGTTACTTAAGAGGCAAAATAATGTGTTCTAGGCATCATATTAGTTTGATGTGTTTTACATGCATTAGCTCATATGGACAAAAGGAAAATAGAAGACTTTTTCTGAGGGTGGAGAAGCGACTTAGTAAATGTAGATGTACAGGAATATTCTATGTAGTTATTGTAGCCCAGAGAAAAGGGCTAAATCTAAACTGGAAGTATTCAGGATAACAACAGGAAGAGTTTACATGTGTGAGGAGTATACACTGGTACAGAGGGATGGACACAGGAATGTTTTCTGAATGATAAGAAACAATATTATAGTAATGGATTCAGCCAGACAAGGAAGAGCTATTTGGAAGTGACACAGCTAATATTCTGGAAGCACATAATGATTTCCATCATCTTCTCACTTTTGGACAAAAGTTAAAAGACTAGTTTGCATATTTACTTTGTGTGTGAATATACATGTAAATAATATAAATATATGTTACTTTTTGTGTATTTAAGTCTTTGCAATAGATGATTCTTACAACCTTACCATTGGCAGAGAAATGTGTTACTTTTAGTGTATGCTCATGAGTATTGATTTTTTCTTTAAGAATCCTAGTTAGGAAATATAAATGGAGGAGAATATATTTAAGGATGAGAGAAACTAGTTTCTAATCTTGATTCTGACCCAATACGCACCATGATAACTGATAAACCAAACTGTAACCAGCTAGCATGTTAACACGATTGGTGTTACTACTATGTTTCATAGAATTTTTTTTTTCATGGCATGAAAAACTTAGTCTTAAGTGAAGGGTCTTCTGAAATATGGGAGAGTTGATAATGCTTCTATTTGCTTTAGTTTTTTAGAGACTCAGATCATCGTTATTCTAGTATGAACAATTTCCAGAATTCTAGAATTATGGGAGCCAATTAACAATTCCCATTAATGTCATTAGAAGCCACTCCTTTGATTTCGCTGCTTTAGAACTAAATATAAAATGGCAAGTTACCTGGATAGTAATATTATAGATAACAATTTATATTAGTTATCTATTGCCTCATATCTAATTGTCCAAAAACTTAGCGGCTTAACAGAACAAATATTTACTATCCCACAGTAGTGGGTCAGGAATCCAGCATGGTGCCTGGGACTCAAAAATTGTCATGTGGTTGCAGTCAAGCTGTTCATTGGGGCTGCTCACTTATCTAAAGTGTCTCCCTGTGAGATTTCATTCACAAGGTTATTATTGGCTAGCTTTGGTTCCTTATCATGTGGGCCTTTCCCTAGGCTACTTTATGACATGGCAGTGAGCTTCCCACAGAGCAAGCAATCCAAATGAGCTCAAGAGAGAGAAATCATACTCGGGATGGAAGCTGTGGTCTTTTTATAACCTAATCTTGAAAGTGACATTCCATTACTTCTGTCCTATTCTATTCATTAGAAGCCAGCCAGTCAGTCCAGCTCATACTAAAGGAAGAGGGTTATACACAAGGGTGAATATCAGGAGGCGGGGATCCCTACAGGCTGACTGCAACTATGTTTTCTTTTTTTTTCATTGTGCTTCCATAGTTTCTGATATGTCCATTGTGCACATGTATTACTTATGTAATAAGGAAATAAAAATCTTAAAGGCAATAAAATTAAACATAAAACATTCTTTTTTTAAAGTTTACTTATTTATTTCAGAGAGAGAAAGAGAGAGAGCACACAGAAGGAGCAGAGAGAGAGAATCCCAAGCAGGCTCCTCACTGTCAGCACAGAGCCCAGCAACAGGGCTCAAGCTCACAAACTATGAGATGATGACCTGAGCTGAAACCAAGAGTTGTATGTTTAACGGCCACCCAGGGGCCCCAAGAGAAAGTATTCTTTTATCAGAAATGTCAATAAGAAAAGTCACTCTTCTTTGGGGTTTTCCTAGTAAGACATTGAATTGACTGAAGACAGGATTTATTAGTGAAACTTCCTGGCCACGTATAGATCATGTCATGAATCCAAGTCTGAGACCATGAACCTAACAGGGTTTTGTACAGCTTTCAAATTTTTACACCAAAAAAATTGAAATAGCAAACCCCCCTTGTGGTCATATAAATACGGCGCTCTTTCTTATTGCCTAATAGCCTCTTTCTTGCTCTGTTCTCAATAGTATGCTTGAGAGTTCAAACCGGCTTGACGAAGAACACAGGCTGATCGCCAGGTATGCGGCAAGACTGGCGGCCGAGTCCACTTCGTCTGTAAGTAGCGTGAGTGAGGGTCTGTCGTGGTCACTCTTATCCTGACAGTTGGTACGAGGACAGCAAAGCTGAGAAGTTGTTACCGTATGGCCTGCAGGACCTAAACACGAACCTTCTACTTGTATTTTTCACTGTCCAGCTATGGTTCCGGTATGGCATAAATCATAGCTTTAGGCATTCTGTTACAGCACTGCCAAACCAGCCCAACACCTGATTTCTCTGATCATTCCTGATCACTTCACAGTAAGAGGAATGACTCAGATCCACAACTGGCTCAGATGAGTTTTTGCTTTTATCAATATGTAATGTATTCAAGAACTAGAAAATTATATAATGAAATCAGACGAAAACCCTGGATCACAGGTCAAAGCTGCCATATGCCAGACTTAGCTACGTGAAGCCATGTAGGATATAAAACATAGGACTTCAAATTCTTTGTTAGCAACACAAATCACTTCTTTGTTAAAAGAAATGCCAATTAACAAATCATAGAAAAGCTTTATGAAAGCCGTAGGTTTACCAAGCTTAATCTTTCTTTTTTTTCTTAAAAAGCTTATTGTAGGGGCGCCTGGGTGGCTTAGTCGGTTAAGCGTCCGACTTTCGCTTGGGTCATGATCTCGCGGTTCGTGGGTTCGAGCCCCGCCTCGGGCTCTGTGCTGACTGCCAGCTCAGAGCCTGGAGCCTGTTTCAGTCTGTGACTCCCTCTCTCTCTGACTCTCCCCTGCTCACGCTGTCTCTCTCTCTCTCCTAGAAATAAATAAAACATTTAAAANGTCTCTCTCTCTCTCCTAGAAATAAATAAAACATTTAAAAAAAAAAAAAAAAAAAAAGCTTATTGTCAAGTTGGTTTCCATATAATACCCAGTGCTCATCCCAACAAGTGCCCTCCTCCATGCTCATCACCCCCCTTCTCCTCACCCTCACCCCCATCAGCCCTCAGTTTGAATGCTGAGAACAAGCTTAATGTCTGTACATTAAAAAGCAGGCTGAGCTTTTTCATGTCTCTGGGGGCTTAGGCAATTGATGCCATTTTTAAAAGTTTGGCATTCTTGGGGTGCCTGGGTGGCTCAGTCGGTTGAACATGCAACTTCAGCTCAGGCCATGATCTCACTATTTGTGGGTTCAAACCCTATGACAGGCTCTGTTCTGACAGCTCAGAGCCTGGAGCCTTCTTTGGATTCTCATGCTTGTGCTCTGTCTCTGTCTCTCAAAAATGAATAAATGTTTAAAAAATTATTTTAGAGGCTTGACATTCTTTAGTGAAAAGATTAATTGTGTTTTTTTAAAAATTTGTTTAAAAATCAATTGAGAAATTTCTTAAATGTACTGTAGAGCAAAGAAAGCAAAGCTCAGGGAACTGTATGTAATCTGACTGTTTTTATGAAACAATGACAATTAAACCTCTGTTAAATGCACACACACAAATATACATATATAAATACAGTATGTGATTACATGTATATACATAAGTGTGCATACATATTGTAAAAGTTGACTTTTATTTGGAAATATGAAAATCAACCTATCCTTGTTATAAAAAGTCTTCTTGGGGTGCCTGGGTGGCTCAGTTGGTTAAATGTCTGACTTCAGCTCAGGTCACGATCTCACAGTTCGTGAGTTCGAGCCCCATATCAGACTTTGTGCTGACAGCTCAGAGCCTGGAGCCTGCTTTGGAATCTGTGACTCCCCCTCTCTCTGCCCCTCTCCCACTCATGCTATGTCTCTCTCTGTCTCTCAAAAACTAAATAAATGTTAAAAAAAAATTTTTAATCTTCTTATAATTGTAATTATATCGATGTTCATATTGTGTAAAAGAACTCATTTAATAAAATAGTACTTTGATTTTACAACAAAAAATACATCTATAAATATATATATGTATATTTGTATATACATATAATCATATGCCATGTTTTTATATATATGTATAAGTATTTAGTCAGGGGGAAATTTGCATATATATAATTAAGATTAATCTCTGTGTATATGCATATATACATATATATGAATGGAGAATGAATGAGAGAATGAATGAATGGAGAATGAATGACATTCATATATATGAATGGAGAAAGCTATGACTGCCTATACACTACTTGTTAAATCATGGCCAGGAGTGATGAGCAGTATGCCATGAATGTGGAGGAAGGATGTATATATCCATTAATGTAAAATTAAATACATGAATAAAGAAATGCTGAAAAGTATGTTGACTGAAAGAAAAGAAAATCCTATTAAGTATGATTTTAAATTTTTTTTTAATGTTTTATTTATTTTTAGGAGAGAGAGAGAGACAGCGTGAGCAGGGGAGGGTCAGAGAGAGAGGGAGTCACAGGCTGAAACAGGCTCCAGGCTCTGAGCTGGCAGTCAGCACAGAGCCTGATGCGGGGTTCGAACCCACGAACCGCGAGATCATGACCTAAGCGAAAGTCGGACGCTTAACCGACTAAGCCACCCAGACGCCCCATTATGATTTTAAAACTATGAAAATTTTCATTGTGCGTTACAGTGATTGAACAGTAATTCTAGAGAGGCATCTCAAAAGGGAAGTATTTTTTACACCCATCTACATTGAGAGCACTGTCACAGTGGGGGCAGCACAGCAAGAATGAAATCGCTCCCAGAGACTTCAAGTCAGAAAGCTACAAGACTATGTCTTCACCTTTTGTGTATTCACCTGCCAGAGAATTCTCTTCTGCTTCTCCTCGCAGAGGTGTCCCCCAGATTCACAGAGAAGCTGGTCTTGAGGAGATGAATGGCAGTTTCATGTATTTGCTTTTCTCGTTTTGATAGAAATAGTTTTTTTCTTTCCTGTCTGCATATCTCATGATTCCTGTCTCCTCAAACCCATGTGGGTTTCTATACCCAATGTTTAACAGCATACACATGTTTTACAGCAGCCGACACAGCAGAGAAGCGCTCCTGACATCTCCTTCACCATTGATGCGAATAAGCAACAGAGGCAGCTGATCGCAGAGCTAGAAAACAAGAACAGGTAAGGCTTTTAAGACATGCTGGCTTTTTTGATCAGGGTATGTGTTCCCTGGAAACTTATAGTTATGCTTTAAAATATCCAGATTTTTCAGCTGTTTGCATATTTAATAGATGACATCTTTAGTCGGTGATGTTGGCATCTGAGAAGCTCGTCTTTAGATTTTCAATCTTCAAAACTTTGTGAGAGAACATACATACAGTTCTGAGATGCCAGTGCAATTCATGTTTTCTTTCCAGACAGTATCATTTCCCTTTTATTGACATGCTTGTTTTTGTTGGAAGTTTATTTATTGTGAGAGAAAGAGAGAGAGTGGGAGTGGCGGGTGGGGCAGAGAGAGGGGAGAGAGAATACGAAGCAGTCCCAGCTCAGGCTCGATCTCACCAACTGTGAGATCGTGATCTTAGCCAAAATCGAGAGTAGGACGCTTAACCTACTGAGCCACCCAGGCGCCCCAACATGCTTGTTTTTGTTAAGGAGATGTCTCATTAAGAAGGGCCCTCCTGAGCGCCACCCAGAGACAAATAGAAGGCTCTTCTAAAAGAGGCATTTGGGGGACACCTCGTGGCTCAGTAGGTTGGGGTCCAGCTCTTGGTTTCAGCTCAGGTTATGATCTCGTATTTTGTGAGTTCAAACCCCATGTCAGACTCTGTGCTGGCAGCATCAAGCCCACTTAGGATCCTTTCTCTCCCTCTCTCTCTCTCTCTGCCCCTACCCTTCTCATGCTTTCTCTCTCTTTCTCTCTCTCTAAATAAACAAACTTTTAGATAGATAGATAGATAGATAGATACATACATACATACATACATACATACATACATAAATAGATACATAGATAGATACAAAGATAGATACATAGATAGATAAAGGAGGCATTTGGACTTACAGTACTGTCTCCCAGTTGGTCAAGCCAAACACCTCAACGCCATCTCCATCAGCAGAACTTTCTTTATTCTACACAGATTAATTCACAGCCAACCCCCACAGCATATCCCAAACTGTCCACTCCATATCCATCATTACCACCAACCCAATCTGTCACTGTATAAAACACAAGTCATAGCATGTTATTTTTCTTTTCAAAACCCTCTGATGGGTTTCCATCAGACTTCAACTAAAACCCACCCTTCTTACCATGGTCTGCAAGGTCTAACCTGGGCTGATTCCTGCCTACCTTTCCAGCCTCAGCAAATCCTGCTCAGTGTGCCCCTACTTATTTCTTTCTGTATAGCCTATGTACTAATTGTTCTCTCAGCTTGGAGAGCTCTTCCTTAGAGTCTCTGCATGGACAGGCCCTTCTCATCACTCGGGTCTTACCTCACAAGTCCTCTTATCTAATCTTTCCCACTACCCCCTACACGAGGAACCACTCTCTATTACAGCCCCTGATATGCGTGTGAGACATCATTATCTGAAATAATTGCATCTATGTATCTATTTCCTTGCTTTTGTCTGTCTTCCCTGACTGAAATGGAAGCTCTCTGAGAACAGATGCCATGCCAAAGGGCCCCTGGGTTCCAGGCCCATGGTTAGGATGTTGTAGAAGCTCAGTAAATATATACTGAGGGAGAAAAATTATTAATAGCAGAGTTAGATCTCAAACTCAATACTGAGTACGTCCAACATGGGAGTAATGTGTGCATTCTCTGTCTCTTAGAAGAGCACCAAATTGTCTTAACACTGAATCTCATTTGTTTTTTTAAATGTTTTTATTTATTTCTAGGAGAGAGAGAGAGAGAGAGACAGCGTGAGCAGGGGAGAGTCAGAGAGAGAGGGAGTTACAGACTGAAACAGGCTCTGAGCCGGCAGTCAGCACAGAGCCCGACGCGGGGCTCGAACCCACGAACCGCGAGATCATGACCTAAGCGAAAGTCGGAGGCTTAACCGACTAAGCCACCCAGGCGCCCCTGAATCTCATTTTTTTAATGTTTGTTTATTTTTGAAAGAGAGAGAGAAACAGAGCATGCATGGGGGAGGGGCAGAGAGGGAGAGGAAGACACAGAATCTGCAGCAGGCTCCAGGCTCTGAACTGTCAGCATGAAGCCCGACATGGGCTTAAATTCATGAGCCATGAGATTATGACCTGAGCCGAATTGGATGTTCAACCAACCGAGCCACCCAGGCACCCCCAGTGAATCCCATTCTTAAACACTGATGTCACTTCTGAGATCAAACTGAGTAATGGAGGAGGTTGTGACCCTTGTTTCATGCCTATAGAGTTTGGCTTGGGAATTTGGGGACAAATGGTCAAAGTGTTTTTTAAAGTTCTATAGACAAAAATGAAAAGGAAGGTACAGACTTGGTTGGCACATTTTCATGTTCTTAGAAATAAAAAAAGACTACAGTGAAAACCCCCAAGCCCACAAATATCTTATCTTGGTTGTAGTGTTTACTTGCTCTCCTACCTTTCCAAAGCACTTTCTTTTCCCTTCCAATCCTCTGCTTCCACTCAGCATGAGGAGAAATCAAGACCTCCTTTAAGGAGATACCCCATGGATATCAGCCTCCATGAAGGATTCCAGAATCAGCTAGAAGCACCATGAATGTCCCAGTGGCCCCAGCTGTGCTATTCTACCACTCTTACTTGTTTCCAAGACGTTTCTGGATGTTGTATTCTCTGAATGCATGTTTGTAGGACCAGAGAGAGAATAAATAAATAGGAATGAGAAGAGATGGCAGAAAGAGAAGTTCGTCCTGTCTCTTAGCCCTTTTATGGCCCACAGAGTTCCCCACGCCAGGCCCAAAGAGCATCTAGTCCATCCTGAACTCATTTCTCTAAACTGGCGGCATCATGCCCTCCAAGGACCCCAGACCCATGTCCCAGAAGCTTATCCAGGTCACACCTCTGCACCGTAAGAACTTGCCCTAGGGGTCCCATGGTCTCCAAGGTGACAATGAACCTGCTAATCAGATCTCTGAGCTTCAGGGAAGGATAGAGTTCCTCACTTCACTCCATGACTACCCTAAAGTAGCAGTATTCTTTACATTGTACGGCATAAGTCACAGTCTGCATAGGCTTGACCTGTCAGAGCAAACACCAAAGACAGAGGGAGTCAGATATCTACAGCCTTTGGAGCTAACCGGCCTGGGTTCAAATCACCTCTACCACCTACTTGTGGTAGTACTGAGCTTGGGCAAGTATTTTAACTGGCCTGTGCTTTGATTTCCTTATTCATGAAACAGATAATGACAGGACCTATATACAGTTTTTATGAGGATTCAGTAAAAGGATATTAAAGAAGAGAGCATAATTCCTGGGGAGAGACTAAGAACTCAGTACTACTCTTCACAAATCTTACCATTATTTTTCTAATCAGAGCTCCTTCTCTCTTTTCCTTCCTTAAGCTAAATGCTGTATCAGAGTTCTGTCCTTGGAACCAACAAGGAGCACAAGTGGGACTCACAGAATATCAGGACGTTAGTCCTGGAGGAGAGCTTCGAAAGCTCAGCTTTACTGATTTTCAGGCTGAGCCCTGTGGGGCCTCGGGGCTCTGTAGGGGTGTCTGAAGAAGGGGAGGAAGGGCTTGCAGTACAGGACACCCCCCTTTCTTTCACCAGAGCAGACTCCCTTTTAGCCATGTGATGTATTGAATCCATAGAAAATTTAAAGTTTTCCACCAGGGAACACCGAAGGGGGACAGAAAAAAGTGGAAAGTCCCTGAATTATAGTTCAATCTTCTCACTATACCCATGAGAGATATAGTAACTGATAATGACCTTCTTAATTCTGGTGTGTTTATGAAGCAGGCAGTTGTAAATCAGCTTTTCAGAAGGAAAGCTATCGCCCTTGCTCGCCAAGTTCACCTTTCATTCCTTATTCCTTAGTGCTTTGTTCTTATTGTCTGTCTCTTGTGTGTTTTGCCAGATGGAAGACTGACACCGCCCCCCCCAAGAATACGTGACTTGTAACCTTGCTTAATGGCTTCGAACTCACTTAGGGATAATTTGCCTTGCATAGGTCACCTATCCTTGATGCGCAGCCTCATGTTCACCTCGGTGCAGGGCAGCCCAGGCTCCAGCATCAATAATAGACTGACACATCTCACCCCTGACAGGGGTCACACCAATAGTGCTCTTATGTCACACACTCAATTATAGCGAATCCTTTTAAAAGCACTTTCCTTCCAAGGCTACCCTCATTGAGATCCATTGTTGAGGCTGAAAATAGTAAGAAAAAGGAAAAAAAAATTTTTGCCTAACTGGGGGCTTCTCAGATAAATTCATTGAGAGGAATTTCATTCCTGGTGAGAGAATGGGGTTATTTAGTTTTGTGAAAAAAAGCACCATTTATCCTGTTTTCCCTCCATGGGACTTGATGGTGTCAGGCTGTGATCAGAAATAATCAGAAGATACATTTTTGCTCCGAAGCAGCACGCTTTTCAAAGTTGAACACGTTACCACAGCATTATATTACTTACCAGAGAGATTATCAGGTCCTGATGAGAATACTCAGCTTGAAGTCTCCAACAACATACCGCAGTTTGAATGTGCTGGTGCTGAGGTCAGCCTTCCTTCGCCCATAGCACCCATCTGGCTACAGCCAATCCCTCGCAAACTGTTGGTTAGTGAGGCTTGCTTCTGCTCCCACACATAGGGTGACCGCCCCATCAGATGTTAGCATCCTGGATATCCCAGAAATTAACTGACCCTAGTTTCTTACCTTCTTCTCTCCCAAGAGAAATCTTACAGGAGATCCAGAGGCTGCGGCTAGAGCATGAACAAGCTTCTCAGCCCACTCCAGAAAAGGCACAACAAAACCCCACTCTGCTGGCAGAACTCCGGCTTCTCAGGTAAGAGAGGAGCCCAAGGCCTCTTGAGAAATGGCAGAGACTGGGCTCTTCCAAAAGTCTAACAGTGTCTAGCCAGAAAACAGTCCTTAGCCCCCACAGCTGCTGACATGCTTCCTATTTCTTTTTTTTTTTTTTAATATTTTAATGTTTATTTATTTTTGAGAGAGAGAGAGAGCAGGGGAGAGGCAGAGAGGAGGGGAGACACAGAATCCAAAGCAGGCTCCAGGCTCCAAGCTGTCAGCACAGAGCCCAATGTGGGTCTCAAACTCACAAACCATGAGATCCTGAACTGAGCCAAAGTCAGACACTTAACTGACTGAGCCACCTAGGCGCCCCTGTTTCTATTTTAATAGCACAGGCCTATTCATTAAAATTTGGAGGGTTTAAGGAGATGCTTTGTATACTTTATTCTTATACTTGACACAGAGAAGGGAAAACAGCATTCTTTACAAACAAAATCTCTGACTGGAAAAAATTTGAACTCAACTCTTTCTAGTTATTTGCACTATCGACAGTGTGTTTATGATACAAGTGATTAACAAAACAAACACAGAAATGGCTAAATAAACATCACAGGCTTTTACATTTAAAAACTTACCTGTAATCCACATAAAAAGAGTCTGATTTTCTCTAAATCTTGGTCCTAAAAGCTTTACATGCAGACCTTAGAAAACAGACTTCATGCCTTCTTGTTCTGCGAATGAATTAAAACACCTGTTGTTTTCTAGTGTGGCACCATAAGACATTTGAGTTTGAAAGGCCCTTAGAAGGTCATCTGGTTCCGCCCTTGAATTTCAGCACACTTCTCAGACTCAGAAAGGCAGAGAATAGCCAAGGACTGTGTTGCCTCCCACTGGGCTCATGTGCAAAAGGATGGAGGGGCTGTGGGCTTCATATCAGGCCAGCTTCACACCATGCCTTGAATATGGCACATACTCAAACCTATCTGTGTAGCAAACAGCTCAAGCATAATTCAAAGACATTGCTTCATAGAAATGTCATATTTCACAAGGCACTTCTGGTTGTTAGCAAGTATGACATTCTTTCCATCTTCCAGTTTCGTTGCCAGGTATATCTTACTCTGAGGCACACTTTTTTCTTTCCTTTTTTTTTTTTTTTTTGGTGATGTTATTTTTTTTTTTTTTTAATTTTTTTTACTGTTTATTTGGGGTTTTTTTGTTTTTTTAATAGTTTATTGTCAAGTTGGTTTCCATATAACACCCAGTGTTCATCCCCACAAGTGCCCTCCTCCACACCCATCCCCCCTTACCCTCCCCCCCACCCCTATCAGCCCTCAGTTTGTTCTCAGCGTTCAAGAGTCTCTCATGGTTTGCCTCCCTCCCTCTCCCCCACTATTTTTCCCCTTCTTCTCCCCCATGGTCCTCCGTTAAGTTCCTCCTAATCCTCCTATACACGTAAACATATGGTATCTGTCCTTCTCTGCCTGACTTATTTCGCTCAGCATATGGCCAGATTTCATTCTTTCTCATTCATGTAGTATTCCATAGTATAGAAAACCACATCTTCTTGATCCATTCATCTGTTTATGGACACTTAGGCTCTTTCCATGTTTTAGCTATTGTTGAGAGTGCTGCTGTGAACATTGGGGTACACGTGCCCCTATGCATCAGCACTCCTGTATCCCTTGGGTAAATTCCTAGCAGTGCTATTGCTGGGTCATAGGGGAGTTCTATTGTTAGTTTCCTGAGGAACCTCCACACTGTTTTCCAGAGGGGCTGCACCAGTTTTCCCATACTTCCCATACTTCCCATACTTCCCACCAAAAGTATAGGAGGGTGAGGCACACTTTTTATAGCAAGTACAGATGCCACTTCTCAGAAACCCTTGTTATCATCAGAGTGCCATTAACTTCGTCCATACAAGCTGACTAAACTAAGCAGGCTCTGGATGGCTATGCTTGTATTTTACCAAGTCCCTATTGATTGCAGTCATGGATGTTTCTGGGGGTTCCATCCCAGCCCTGCTCTTCAGACACATACCTGGCTAGATGGCAGAGCCACCAAAGGCATGAATTACAGAAAGGAGATTTTTAAAACCAGTCACTTGTGGGGGCTGCTTGATGTGAAGGGATCCTGTCATACTTTCGAATAACAAACTAGTTTACCGGAAGAAACAGAAATCCTTCATTTTCAAACTATGTAATCTCTGGTCCTTCCTTCAGGGAGATGGATTAGAAGTTCTTGCATGTTCTCCTATACGTCACCCAGGTAGGATGGAAATGGAAAGAAGGAAAGGGTGACGTCAACTCCCTGTCATCATCCTCAAAGGCATATGAAAGTAAATGCCTGCTTTAAAGAAAATTTGCCTAATGAAGATATGTAGACCCTCCAGTTCACAAGCTATGAGTCTAACTTACATGGGAATATAACTGAATAAACCAATTTGGAAATAGAGTAATTATTCATCTCCACATCTAGGTGCCTTGTCTCCACCTGAAATGTTCTTTATGCCTCTTCCATTGATTGTCCCATTCTCTATTGGAGGGAGAATGACTAGGAATCTTTCGTAAACATTTTCATCAGATCACCCATTAGCATTTGCTTTCGAAAGTATTTGGTTCCGGGGTGCGTGGGTGGCTCAGTCAGTTAAGCAACCGACTTCGGCTCAGATCATGCCTCACAGTCGTAGGTTCGAGCCCCGCGTCAGGCTCTGTGCTGACAGCTCAGAGCCTGGAGCCTGCTTCAGAGTCTGTGTCTCCCTCTCTCTCTGCCCCTCCCCCCTCACTCTCTGTCTCTGTCTCTCAAAATAAAAAAATAAAGTCATAAAAAAAAGAAAGAAAGTATTTGGTTCCATTTTGATGATACAGTCTGGGAAGGCTGATGTGCCTGGGTCACTGGTGATAGTTTGCCCATTGATATTTCTTCCCTCCTTGACATTGCTATCTTGGAAGAGACTGATAATTCTAACTACCTCCCTGGCCCTGACTTGTGGGCATTTCCAAAGCCCCAGCTGAGCCCAAACCCATCCCAAAGAGTCTGGCTTTGTGAAAAACTCTAGTGTGTTGGGTGCTCACTGTCCGCTGGTGGCCCACACCTGAAGCTAGAGGCCTGAGGCCTGAGACACCTAAATCCCAACTGATTTGCTCTTCTGCCTCCATATTCTACACATTTCTTCTACCTGAAGAAGAAGGGATCCCCTCCCTTAAAGGGTATTTCTCTAGATCCTTATAAACCACTAATTCTCTGCTAAGCACTTTCACGATTTGGGGATTTCACAGATACCCTGACATCCCAGGTCAAGAAACATGCTTTGGGCATTCTAACTTTTACCCTTTGGTCACTTCAGACTCCATAACAATGGCCTCTTGCACAATTACTGTGGCCATTGAGGGGTGGCCACGTGTAGCAGCCATAGGAACTCCTTGGACAGAGACCTTCTCCTTCCATTTCAACCTGCTGGTGCCTCTTACTGAGAAACCAACAGGAGAACTTTCTTTCAGCTGGAGAACCAGCAAGGGGAGATAGGAGCAGAGCTCAGCTTTTCATTAATGCAGTTCATTTTTATCTTAAGAGCAGCATGACCTTTCTAAATAATCACATTTCCCTTTTTACATTAGCCACAAGAAAGCTGAAAGCCAAGTTTGCAACCCAGATCTGGCAACTGAATGGGGTTATATGATAGGCATTTCTGTGTCCTAATCTGATGCTTCCTATGCACTAAACTCTATAATCCACTGTCCCGGGTAATTGCTGTAACAAACCCAGGAGATGGATACTATTATTGTACTTTTTTATAGATATGGAAACTGAGATTCACGGAAGTTAAATAATTTGCCCAAGATCCCACATAATGAGTAGCATGTGTGGATTCATCTCCTTTTCTTGGGTCTTAATTATCTCCTCCTGGACTGTTACTACTCACTTAATTGATTCCTGGCCTCTAATCCATCTACACTGCTGTCAGATTTATCATCCTGCATTTTATTATTCATTTAGTTCATTCAGGAAATATTTCTAAAATGCAGTATGCCCACAACTGAGTTGAAAAAGATACTCTCCTGGTCTCACAGAATGTGTGGTCCAGTAGGAAAATGACATTAATCAAATAAGTGCACAAATAAGAATATAATTATAAACTGAGATAGGTACTATAAGGAATCTTACTTTAAATAGAGACATAATAATCCAACCTGCCCTTCACCAGTCAGAGAAGGTTACCACGAAGAAGGATTGTTTGAGTTGAAGGATGAAGGATGAATGGGAACGGGGCTTATGGGTGGCAGAGGGGCTAGAACAGCCAAGGAAGGGTCTGGAAAACAGAGGCCATATGTTCAAAGACCAAATGGCAGGAGCAAATCTGGCACTTGTTTAGGAACTGAAAGGTATATAGACCTAGAATGCAGCAAATGAAAGGGTGGATGGTAAAAGATGGAACTGAAGATGTAGGTGGGGGTAGACCATGATGCTGTGTGACCTTACAGACTGTCTCGAGGCTATTGATATTAATCCTACAACATGAAGCCATCGAAGGGGATAGTTGCATGTCCAGCCAACACAATGGATTAGAGTGTAAAGTCAGACTCACGTGATTCAGAGATTTTACTTCATCATTGAGCTTCACTAGTAACTTCAAGAATACAGAGGGACAGATGAAGCAGAGAAAGGTCTGGAACATCCCATGTAGTTCCTGAGGTCTTTCCTTTCTACATTGGGTGGGGTTTTGAAGGGAGGTTTTGCAAGGTTATCTAGCAAGCCTTCCTTAAATTTTTACCACCATATGGAACTGGACATCCTCTTCGGTGTTACCACGTGCAGCAATTTGTTCGTATTTTTATTATACGCTCGCCATCATTGTTTTGTACTTACTTACTTCTCCTCCTCTTTCACTCAAGGACAAAAACCATATCCTACTCATTTTATTTATAGTGTCTTAAAACAGGGGCGCCTGGGTGGCTTAGTCGGTTAAGCGTCCGACTTTCGCTTAGGTCATGATCTCGCGGTTCGTGGGTTTGAGCCCCGTGTCGGGCTCTGTGCTGACTGCCAGCTCAGAGCCTGGAGCCTGTTTCAGAGTCTGTGTCTCCCTCTCTCTGTGACCCTCCCCTGTTCACGCTGTCTCTCTCTCTCTCTCTCTCCTAGAAATAAATAAAAATTTTAAAAAAAATTATAGTGTCTTAAAACAAAAGTGCCTAATGGATGTTTGTGTCATGAATGGATAAGCTGCAAAACCAATACGAGATAGCTAAAGGACTGTGTTTGCAGAGACAATACCATCTTCTAGGATGAAGAAAACTTTTATTAAAATTGTGAAGCAACTAACATCACACTACAAATCTCAAAAAGAAAAAAAAGTATCATTTCCATATCTCTACCTTACCAAAAAATAAGCATTTTATTTTATCCCCCCAAAATTGCATTCTTTTCAATGTATATAAGATTATTCTTCAAGAAAACTTGCTAATATAAGATGACTTTTTTGTTCTATTAATTAAGAATGAAAGTGTGATCTCTGATATAAGTTGGTGGTTTTCAGAGCTAAATTTAATAGACCAGCTTAATTTTTAAATTATTTTGGGGAAACAACATAAAGTTGAGTAGTTTTTGTTTTACCATATGATGATAAATTTTTTTAAGTTGATTTATTTATTTTGAGAGAGAGAGCAGGGGAGGGGCAGAGAGAGAGGGCAGGGGAGGGAGAAGAAAGACAGGGAGAGAGAATCCCAAGAAGGCTCTGCACTGTCAGCATGGACCCCAACGCAGGGCTCCAGCTCACGAACTGTGAGATCATGACCTGAGCTGAAACCAAGAGTTGGATGCTCAATGAGCTAGTCACCCAGGTGCCCTTATAAGGACATATTTTTAAAACTACCACCATCTCATATCACAACAGTTTCATGAATGACAATATGTTTTTTAACTTTTTATTGTGAAAAAAATTAAGCCTTTGAAAGAGTTGTAAGAAAATCACAATGAATATCCTTTTATACATCACCTAGAGATAACATTTTCCACAACCTTCTCTATCTCCCTGTATATGTTTTTATATATATAAACTGCAAAAACCTTTTTGTTGAGTCATTTGAGAGTAAGTTGCAGACCTCATAACCCTTTACCACTAAGTATCTCTGCGTAGATTTCCTACATAAAAATGTATTCTCTTACATAACCATGGCACCATTGTCAAACTCAGGAAAATTAATATTGATAGTATTATCTAATATACAATCTATATTAAAATTTTGCCTGTTCTCCCAACATTGTCCTAAGAGAAAGTAGGTTTGAAAATATATGTAAGAGGCGCCCGGGGAATTTAGTCAGTTAAGTGTCCAATGTCAACTCAGGTCATGAACTCAGGCTGGTGAGTTTGAGCCCCGCATCAGGCTCTGCAGAGCCTGGAGCCTGCTTCAGATTCTATGTGTCTGTCTCTCTCTCTCTGCACCTCCCCCTCCATCTCTCTCTCAAAAATAAATAAACATTAATATATATTTATATATATAAATTATTTTTTAAAAACACATGCAAAATTAGAAATTATCAGGCAGAATCTCAAATAAAAGGTCTTCCTTTACAGAGGTATACATTTAGCTCTGTGAAAATAAAATCACTACTTAGTCCTTGTTTTTGTGTTCCCACTTGGAACTGTGGAGGCTACACCACAAATTTCTTAATCAGACCCACATTTGGTAGCCACTTACAGAGAAGATTAAATAAAGACATTATTAAATGAAATTCTTTTAATTGAATTTAATCAATGCATGAAAGAGTAGAAGTCATGTTTTGAAAGAGTACTACTTATTAGAAAACTGTACAAACAAGTTTTTTATTGTTGATTAATTCTAAGTTAATACCAGTTAACGTTTCACATAGCTTTTAGATGCCTTCCTTAGTATTTCTTAGCTACAATATTTGAATTTACTGCAACCCTCTTCGCAAAGTGCTCCTATGACCAAAACTCCAAAACGTACAGAATAGTATCTAGAAGAAAACCGGAAATACATCAGAAACATTATCTATCCTTCTACCAAGCCCTACCATGGATATATTTGGGATGCCATGTGCAGACAAGGTCAAAGATAAAACAGCTAGTAGATTTGTCATTGAAGAATATTTTTGAATGGAGCAAGACTTTCAAAATTAGAATGTTGCAGCCCAGGAAGACAAAGACTAAAATAAGATACCATTAAAGTCTATAAAACCATGATGTTCCTGTCCTTCGGGATTCAGAAAAGAGGCAATTGTAAAGAAAAAGGAAGGAATGTTCTAGGAGTAAGTAAGCCTTGAATGGCAATAAAAAGCAAAAATATAAATATATTCAAAAAGAGTGGAGATATGTTTATAAATTTTAAATTCATAATTCATTAGAGAAAGCCTGAATGAAAGCAAATTAGAAATGTTTCATTTATATCCATAACCTTTCCTCCCCCAAAATATCTTTCAATTGGATGAGTCATTGACCTAAGTCAGTGTAACATTTTTATACCGTCAGTTTTTCATTTCAGAGTCTCCGCTATAGCTCCACTTAATCTTGTGCCTATGCCATTGAGACTAGGCACATCCATTCATACAGTAACACATGGTTAAATCATTCACACATTTTTAAAATACAAGCTTCAATATCTCAAACTCAGACAGAAGCCTTTGGGGCAAGGGGAAAAATTGTATATATTATTCACTAATGATCATGAAATCATAGACTTGAAAGTCATTTGAAAAGTATACATATACATCAGAATACGAACCATTAATATTCTTCTCCATACTGTTTCATTTCTTTTCCTACTTTTAAAGATATTCTTGGTTCCTCTTAGTGTCAATGTAAATGATGGAGTATAGATTGTCCTTTGTGGTTTCCATTCTTGCTGACAGTTTAATAGAAGTTCTGCAAAACAAACAAAATTAAACAAACACAAACCTTGTAGGCTATTTCCAGTTGAAACAATTCTGTAGGAACTCCTATAAACTCAAACCCAAACCAGAAAACTTCAATTGACTATAAAAACTCTGTACTATGAATATTTCACCTCTGAAAGGCATCACATTGCATACTAAGGATGAAGAAATGGAAAATAAACTTTTAAAATCCAATTTCCAAATACTAAGGTAATCAGTATGCCCTTTGAGATTTACAAAAAGGTCCTTAGGTTTGGAAAGTCTGTGGGATTGACCTCTTTCAGGGACAATTTGATTTCTGTTTGTTGTCTTAAGGGAGCCCAATGGCACAGCACAGGGCCCAGGACATAACTGAGCATTCAGAAAAGATTTCATTAACTGGTTAATTAAGGGTAGAAGGGGGAGTACATCCAAGAGGATTTTAATTCATTTGTGTTTTAGTACAACGTCTAACAGACAAATGTACACCTCAAGCTATAATTGTTCATTCATTTGACATTTCCCTGCCTGGAAACCACATCAGAGATCCAGAGGTGCCCCTTTTCAGGTTGTCTACTAGTGTCACAAGACTGGGAAGTGTGATCAGCGCAGTGGGTTGAATGCTATTCTGATGACGACTACTTCTTTCTTAGACAGCGCAAGGACGAGCTGGAACAGAGAATGTCTGCTCTCCAGGAGAGCCGGAGAGAGCTAATGGTCCAGTTAGAAGGTCTCATGAAGCTACTAAAGGTAAGACATTTCAAATAAATATTTTGTAGACCTGTGACTATGGCATTTATAAAAATCATTTCCATATAATATACAGCGGTTTCTCCAATTACTATATGTGATTTTCCCCAAGGTACGGCTTCAGTCCCAAATATAGGATCTTTTCTTAGATGTGTCCAGTGATAGCAGTTCCTGGAACCAGACTACTGAGGACCTTCATAGGACAACTTTTGACTTATTTCTGGTTCCTATGTCCTTGAAAGTAATAAAACTGAATTTGTTTAGGAATACTGTACATTTAATAGCTTCAGAAGTTCTGAATAAATTGAGCAGACGCTAATGTCTCATTCAGAAAATGAAGATATAGCCAGGAAATAACTTTGGAGATTATAGTTTTATTAAGAAGAGTAACTGATAATTTCAGTGAAATATTTTCTCTCATCTGTGAGGCTGTAGCAGCAAGTCATGTAACTTCATGAGTCTCAAGTACAAAGTGTAAACATGAATACCCCCTTAGCTCTCTGCAGGTAGAGTGTTTAACAAGATGATCTAGGGAAGTCCTCTGCAGAGCACTGTAATCTCTTATTCTCAGTGGGAAGTGGCCTTCTCCATTGCATTAACCCCTATCCCCTTTTTCAGTATATACTAAATCACATGTGAATCAATATAGGCTAATTATGGCCACTTGACCACAGTCAGCCCAGGAGAGGTGTCATTGCTACGTGGTCATCCCACCTGAGGTAGACAAGCAGAAACCACTGAGAATTGGAACTGTGACATGCCAAAGGCAGGAGCTCATACTGAAACTTGCCGGGTCCCTGGGGCAGCTCACCTGTGGGACAGATGTCTGTCCTTCCAGTCCCTGGATCCCTGGCGTCCCCGATACACCATCATTTACTGTTTTGCCCTTCCTCTTTCTGTCTTTCCTTTTTCTTTGTTTCTCTTTTTCATTGCTTTCTTTCTCTCTTCCTTCCTCCTTCCTTCCTTTCTTTTATTTAACAAATATTTGTTGAAACTTAACTGTGCCCTGGCAGTGGACACACACCTATAAGTGCAACACTTCCTTCTTTGATTTTCTTTGCTCTATTTTTTTTTGTTGGTTTTTTTTTATTCCTCAGTCAACTTTTCCTGCCATCAGTGTTGGGAATGCTTTATCTTCACTTCACAAAATTTACTTTTCAGTGCATTAGCTATGTAAAGTGTAGAACGTGGTTTTTGTTGTACTATGTATATTAAGACAGGACTGGATAATGGATAACCTCTCACTGTTTCTGCCCTGTTGTCTCGTTTGATGATCCAGAAAAGCTCTTTCAGCTTTCCTTTCCAAATATACCAAATGGACAGGGTCAATTTCATCTTTCCCTTCACTGAATGACAGGAAACCTTGAAAATAGCCCACTGCTTATATTCCTATAGCTTCTGTCACCACAGCAATGGGTGGGTATATTTACCACCAGCCATCTTGGCATCAACTTAGCCTAACTGAGCATAGTCTGTTCTATCAGGATGTGCAAACAGCAGGCTAGAGGGATAGATCGTGATGAAAGGTGGATGGACATAGGAGGGAATGAGATGGTCTGTAGTCTCACATACCTAAATAGACCTGGGACTAAAGCCGCTGAGGTAGGAGAGGCCACCATCGAAGCCGTGTTGATGTTTCCCCCATCTTGCGTTCCCTCACAATGTGTACGCGCTCTGCCTGGAACCCTGGGTAACCTAACTGTTATTGATTCAATCTTTCTGTAGGAAGAAGAACTGAAGCAGGGAGTAAGTTATGTTCCCTACTGCAGGTCTTAACTAACTATGGAGGGGCCTGCCATCCTGCCGTTTTTCTCATTGCTTTTGCCTCTAATGTATGTTCATGCTTCAGTTTGGAAAGAGAAAAAAAATCATACTAATTTGCTTCCTTTTCAATGTAGTGCTTGAATTGAGACATATAAAATTTAGCGGTTTTTTAATAACTATTACTACTGTGGGCCTTCAAAGAAGAGCCATTACACCTTTTAGAAGAGGGGAAAAAATCGTAATGTGTTGGAGACTTTTTAGATCTCCAGGGGTCTAAGTTTCCAACCAGTCTCCTGCTTTTCTGGGTTGTTGATCAGACCCGTCTCTGAACAGAGACACCCACTCCGCCCACTTAAGGTGCCCACAGCACTCAAGCTAACCTCCGCATCCTCTCATTTAGTTCCGTTTCCATTTTACTGGAAAGGTGTGTGACCTCTTTGTACTAAAGTCAGCCAATTACATCTCTTTTCATTGCATAATTACTAAGCCCTGTTCCCCTCTGGTCACCAAATTGTGTTCAATCCGAGAGAAACACTGTACTCAGTAACTGCTCGTTTCCCATTGTTTAGTTCTTGCAAGCGGAATCCCTACCACTGGTTCGCAATAATCTCAAAAGAATAGGCAACTTTCAGCCTTTCCCTTATCACCAAGAACCTCTCTGCTCTGGGAGTTCACAAGCCCTTGCATACATCTTCTCTGGAAGCAGGAACATTGTGACTCTCTAACTGTAGTCTCTCCACTGGAACCCTGTGTCCGACCCTGTGGTCAGGTTCAGAGCCAGGAGAGGGAGTAGCGTACTCAAAAAACAATAATAACAAAATAGAAGCAAAAGAACAGCAGCTTTAAGTTCAAGTGCATGTACCAAACCGTGTATGAGGATATATCCCACTTGCTGGTTGGTATCACCAGGAAGTGTCACATCATTTCCATGGATCACTTAGAACCACAGCCTGTCCAATTTCAACGTACCTTTTATTCTTCTGTATTCTCTTTCCTATTATTCATTGTGTGTGTTTGTGTGTAACAAAGAATGTTTGCAAAATGCTGGACACGTTTTTACCCTTCATTCCCATGGTCTGTAAAAAAGGAAAGTGTAAAACTAATCTGTAATGTCAGACAATAAAGACAATGTATTACACTATTTTGTATTTTGTGAAAAAAATTGCTTTACTAAAGTCAAATTTTAATGAGAGACAGTCCCCCTGGGTGAAGGACGCACATTTATAGCCTGTCTAATTGCCCATAAAGGCGTACATGGGGTATTGCTATTGTACTTCCAGCACACTTAGATCATGGTAGAGAAAAATGCCTTGCTCTACTGCTTTTCTTTGCAAACAGCCTCTTTTCTTTCCTGTCTCTTACTTAGCATGTGCACAGAAAAAAAGTGGGGGGTAGCGGGGAGCTCAAATATAACCTTCTTCCACCTAGTGGAAACAGAGAGGGTAGTCATCCTATAGTCCATCAGCCTTGCTGAGCTGTCTCCCCCAGGGGCTCCTTTCCCACCCTTTTCCAGGCCACACATTCTTGAAAGGCTGTGTGGACCAGGAAGTTCATAAACCCATAGCTGCAAAGAGCCAAACAGTGGCAGCACTCATAGAGCATTACTGCCTCCTTTCCTTCCAGCTCCTCTCACAGAGCCCTCAACTGAGTCTCTGAAAGCCAGCCCTCAGCTGGGACCCGCTGCCTAGGTTCTAAAGGGCCATCCCTAGGAGTGCTCAGATGTCAGCAGGTCAATGTCTGGGTGGGGAGAGAGTTTGCTTGTCTTAGGCATTTATCAATTTGCTTGTACAGTCAAGCCTCTTTTCAAAAAGGACCCAAGGCAGCTGACAACAAAAGATATCAACAATGACTTCATAAAATAAATATAGAAAGATCAGAAACTAAAGAAGGGAAAATGCAGATATGCTAATCATAAGAGACAAGGGTGTTCCTCTGAGCTTTTGGCAATGAGGCAAAAAAAAAAAAAAAAAAAGGAAAACATAATTGGTTTTATCAGAACAGAAATACCAGTTCTCAGGGGACCAAAATTTCTGTTAGCATAAAATATGAGAAGAAAGTCTTTACTTGGAGCTTTAGAGAATTTGTGCTGAATAATAAAAGGGACAAATGCAGCAGCAGATGTCAAGTGGCTGATTATTATACTGACCTTCAGTAAAAATTAAAGACAGCACCCTGTATGTCCCAATCCTGAGAAGGCAATTCTAAAAGGAAAGAAACATGCCATTCAAATATATGGACTTGGTATAACATGATCTAAGGAGAGAATTTAGAGGTTTTAGTCTGGCGTCTGCTTCTAAATTCTGTTTTTATTTATGAGCCTTACCCCTTTGGGGACATTCTCTTTGTAAAATCAGATTTAAGACACTGCACACAACAATTGTGCTTGATTTAATAACCTCTACTTGCTTTATCATAAGTCTGTGTGGTTCAATGTATTTTATGATACTGGTATATATAATTCCTACTTCTACTGTTTCTTGTTAGAGATAATGCATGAATTTATCCCCCTTGAGGAAAGAACATGAATTTAAAAAAAAAAATAGTGCCTGTAATATAATATGATGATTATGGTATCATAAGCAATAAATTTTTTTTACAAAACTTGCATCAAAATTATCCTACCCTCTTTCTTCTTTGCGTATTTTTAAGATTTATTGAAGGAACCATAAAAAAACACTCATTAAAAAGTGTAAGAATGATGGCAGCTGGGTATAATTGCAATGACAGGATGTTTCAGAGCTTCTGGTAGACTTCCATTTTCCAGCATCATGTCCCAGTCTAAAACTAGATATCCTGACTTTGAGTTTAGAAGGTCTAAACTTGTAAGGTCTCAAAAAACTTTTCTGCAGAAAGATGACTGGTGTTAGACCTGATGGCAGGGTCCCTGCTCTTCACACTCACCTGTCATTTCTTGAGTAAGTCAGTTAAGTTCCTGGTAACCTATCTCAAACAAACTGCTAACACACGGCACACAGGATTTGAGGGTAGATTTTGAAAGCTACTGGATGTGAAAGCACTTTGTAAAATACTATATGCATGTCAGATATTAGTATAAGAAGATGTATATGTGTATACACGTACATCCAACATTATGTAAACTTGTAATTTAACCCGTATTTTATGCACACGCATGCATGTACACAGGCACTCACTTCTCTTCCTTCTTTAGCTAAGAGTGTCTCAGTCAGAGGAGGAAAGTGAAACACCATTTCAAATTCCATCCCTGGCCCATTCTC